ACGAGGTCAGAGAGGTGATGGGGCCAGCTTCTGCTCACTCCTGTAGGCCTAAACCTTTTCACTTCTACCTGAGGGAGGTGGGGAGCCACTGCAGGGTTTCATGCACAAGAGGGACAAGACCTGACCTGCGTCTTGAACAGGACCCTGCCAGCTGCTGAGGTGAGACTAGACCGTAGGGGGTCAAGGACCGAAGCAGGGAGAGCGGTGAGGGGGGAACGTTCAACTCCTGGGGTGAGCTGAGCAACGGTGGCTGCGGCCAAAATGAGGCGGGGGTGGCGGCCGGCTGTGAGAAGCTGGCAGATTTGGAAACATTCTGAAGCAGGCGGCAACAGCAGAGGCGTGGCAAGGGAGGGAAGGCGAGGAGTCAAGGATGCTGTGGGTTTGGGGCCTGGGCCTCCGAAGACGGGGCTGACGATAACCGAGATGGGGAGGGTCCGAAGTCTCGTTTGGGACATGTCAGGTTGGAGATACCCACAAGACATCCCCCGGGGCGGGGCGATACCTACTCCTAAAAGTTGAATCCGCCACCACATTCAAAAGGTGACGCACCTCCAGGAGTATCCCAGACAGACCCGGTCCAGCTGGGGGAAGGCCCGGGAACCCCGAATCAGCTCTTGCCCTGCCCTGTCCCCTCAAAGGTTCCTCCTTTCTCCTCCCAGAGCCATTTACCTTCTTACCTCAGGCCCATCGTGCCGCCATTCTGGGCCTTGAATTCCTGCAGGAACCGATGGGGTGAGGGGAGGACCATCCAGGGTCCCTTTCGGCTCTAACAATCCAAAGGAAGGTAGAGGAAGGCCAAGGGATCGGTCTGAAAACCTACAGAAAACTTGGGGAGTGGCGGGGGGAGGTTAGGGGTGCAATTTGGCTGTTCAAAGACTGTTGTGAACCCAGGAGGAACTATAAGAGATAAATACACTCACTCCAAGGCCAGATCTCACCCCAAGAGAAATTTCTAACGGCTTCTAAAATATTCCCTTTTCTCCCAGCCCTTGGCTGCTTATTCACACAGTCAGGGATGCCGTGTGTTCTCCACGGCAAACGGGATCAGGGGCCAAGTATGAGCAGGACTCCATGAAGGGCAACACGGGCCTGTTACTTCTATTGGCCACTCTCAGCGACAGCAAGTGCAGCAGCAAAAACTAACTAGAGAATTCCAGCTGGTGTGGACCGCTGACAATTACTGGACGCTAACTGTATACTCAACAGCAATACCCTACGCAACTGCCAAGGATTTGCTCATTTGATCCTTGGGCCACCGGTCTTTGCTTAGTATTGTGTTGTCCACCCAGGGAAACTGAGGCACGCAGAGAAATCACTTGCCGAAACTGCAGAGCCAGGCTTTGAAGCCCGGGGACGCAGGCACTCGCTCTGAGGCACCACAGCGCACGGCTTACTAATTTGTTTCTCCGACTTTTTGACATTTTTCCGATTTTTCTATTCTGGGTCTGCAACATAATAAATATTTTTTAAAAATTAACCCACAAGGAGGGGCAGCTGGGTGGCTCAGTCAGTTGAGTGTCTGACTTCTGCTCAGGTCATGATCTCACAATTCGTGGGTTCGAGCCCCATACCGGGCTCTGTGCTGACAGTGCGGAGCCGGGAGCCTGCTTAGGATTCTGTCTCTCCCTCTCTCTCTGCCCGTCCCCCACTTGCACTCTGCAAGTGTGTGTGTGTGTGTCTCTCTCTCTCAAAAAATAAATAAATATTTTTATTTTATTAAATTTTATTAAATTTATAAATACATATATATTTATAAATTTTTTATAATTTTTTATAAATTTTATAAATTTATAAATTTTTATAATATATAAATATAAATTTATAAATTTATAAAATTTATTAAATTTTATAATATATAAATATAAATTTATAAATTTATAAAATTTATTAAATTTTATTTAAAAAATTTTTTAAGTTACCCACAAGGAGAGACTCCTATTCCCAACCACCATACAAACACCAGCCACAAAACAGCCCTTCTTACCAGCACTAATGGGAAAAACAAGCTGGTGCTGGTAAACCCAGCACCTATCTGGGTAAAGAAGCACCTCTTCTCTCCCTCCAGAGCATTTGCCTAAGTGAAGGTGGTTAAGTCCCTGGAACCCACACTGTGGGCCATTTCCACTTTCTGGTTCTTCTGGACTTTTCAGTTCACAGGGCAGAGGCAGGCAGTGACCCAGGAACAAAGCTCTGATAAGAGTCTCACGTGGGCCAGTCCCTTTAATTTCTAAACACAAGGCCTTGGTCACAGAGAAGCCAGGTATAAGGGGCAGGGCAGCAGCCCCATCCCTCCGCCCCCTCCCCAGCTGAAGAAAATGAGAATCCACAGGAAGGACAAGCAACTGGAAATACACAACTTCACCTTCAGAAAGAAGGGACTCTATTCGGGGCACAGGCTGAGCCTCCTATACAAATGATCTCATTTACTCTTCAAACAACCCTAAGAATTGGGGCTTTTTTGGATCCTGCCCCCATTTTACAGATGAGGAAACTGAGGCACAGAAAAGTAAAGTGGCTTTCCTCTCCCAGCCCGTAGTGTGCCGCCCTAGAAAACACAGAAAGTAGTGTGCCTGGGTGGCTCCGTGGGTGAAACGTCCGACTTCGGCTCAGGTCATGGTCTCACAGCTCGTGGGTTCCGGCTCCACGCTGGGCTCTGTGCTGACAGCTCAGAGCCTGGAGCCTCTTCCAATTCTGTGTCTCCATCTCTCTCTGCCCCTCCCCTGCTCACTTGCGCGCGCGCTCTCTCTCTCTCTCTCTCTCTGTCTCAAAAATGAATAAACATTAAAAAAAAATTTTTTTTTTTAAACACAGAAACTACCTGCTTTCTGTTACATTTGGTTTCTCTAGCTACCTAGAAGTTCTCACGCTGCAGTGGCCAGCTTTGAAACTCTGCTTCCAAGCTCCAAACCCTCCCTCCCCCACCCAAAACTGGGGCATCCAGGAATCCAGAAGAAGGGACAGAGGAAAGTCTGCAAGGGCAAAGACTCAGAAAAAGGGAGGGTCTGGCAACCAAGGCCATACATTGCCTGCCCCAAGCAAAACAACCATGTGGTAATTTCTGTAGCAAAAAGTCCAAAGAGAAAGAGAAAAAAAAAAAAACAAAAAAAACAGACAATTGGTTTTCCTGGATGAACTTCTTAAGCTAAATAAACAGAGTACCCCCAAACACACTTTGCTTTGGAAAACCTCATTAACCATCAACTGCCAGTTGTCACTAATAAAGTCCATCCTGATTCAAAATGTGATTCCCAGTCAACCTATTTTTTTTTTCCCCTGTGTAATCTAAGATAAGAAAATAAACAAGGAAGCACTCCAAAATTCACAGCAACACTAGACCAGATCTCCCTCTGGATCCTTGCAAAAAATAATCTTGCGGCTGTTACACCTGGCAGAGGGAACAGGGATTCCACAGGTTTTCCAAACGGAGTCCTACTTTGCAAATGCTCTGTCCTCCAGTCCCCCAGACCCCGAATGCAAAAGTTATCTGTCAGATTCCCAGCCCTAGAGTCAATCTCTCATCCTATCAGCCTGAAATCTGGGAGACGTACGAAGGTGTATTTGATTGTTCTACCAAACGACACCCCCCCCCCCCAAACAAAGCCTTCCCCTGGGGCCCTCAAGGATGACTTTTTCAACACTACAAAGGCAGCAGGCAAGGGAAGGGCCACAAAACAGAACAAGGAGGTATTTTTGGATGCTAATCACCAGCTCCTAAGAGCCAAGGCTGTTTCTCTCTCCTGAATCCAAGACAAAAGAGGGAAAACAAAACTATCCTGTCCAGGTTCGCCTACTGTGTTTCCCAATAATCAAGAGAGTGTGCCACAGACGTGCCCTCCTGGAACAAAGAGGTAAATCGCATTAGAGGGAAGCTAAAGCCCAAGACAGTGGGGATTAAACCACAGAAAGGGAACTCAGGAGCCAGAGCCAGGCCAGCACTGAGCATGCAGAGGAAAACTTGCCAGGGAAAAAGCCACGTGCATCCCCACAGACAGGAGCCTCACATTACAGAGCTGGGACGGCCCTGCACCCCAAACCTGACAGAAGGGCCCGGTGAGGCAGCGGGGGACAGCCCTACCTTCTTTCCTGGCTGTTCCCCAAACTTCCCATATCCTTCCGTTTCCCCAAACCCCCCTATAGTAATTAAGCAGACAGAAAGTAAAAGACGGCAAAAATACGTAACCACAGGAGCGTAATGTTGATGCAGCACAACCGGGGAAGGGGCAAACATCCCTTCCTCCAGCCCGAGCCTCTTCCCAGCTCAGCCCTTTGGGAATGGGGCGTTCTTGGTGAAAGGGGGGACCCCAATCCACAAAAGACATGGAAGAACTTAAGCCGGGAAACCACCCCCTGTGCCGCCGCCCTCCCCCCACCCCCCAATCCCTGGCGTCCCCTCCCGCGGAAGGTTATTTTTAATTGCAGGGGCAACCGCAAAGCAGGAAGCCCTGTCCCCCAAGCTCTGGCCCCTAACGTTTCCCCTAAAGCCCCGGAGCCGGGCACATGCACAGCCCCTGCCCCGTTCCCGGGAGCTGAGCTGCCAAGGTCCCCCCG